ATAACCCGTATTTGGCTCTAAGATTCGGTTTGCAAAATTTCTATAGAATATAGTTAAATTTCAAAGGATTCATGAAAATAAAAAATAATATTTACAACAATGTTAAAGTAAGTAATAAGTAATCAAATGGTATAATTACAGGGCCCAGTTTACTAATTTTATTGAAAACACTGGTAAGTAGTAATGCCATTACGACTCCACTGAGATTACATTGCAATTGTGACAATATTTGTTATTCCGCTAAAATCTAGTTGCAATGGCCAATAGATAATCAGTAGAATGGCAGTGATGGCATTCGTTCAATTAATCATTAACAATCGATGTTGTCTTATAAAACTACCATGAAAATCAAATCATATCAATCAATGCATATCTTAATTGGACGTAGTTAAACAAAAAGGATCCAATGCACATCCAGTCACTTTCGAGATACGGCAGTTTGAAGTTTAAAAGTGCTTCTCACTCTTGTTTTACTTTTAAAACTTATAATGTCATGTAACTCCATGTTTATATGTTACATTTTTTTTTGCTGATCTAAGAGGTTAGACATTTGGTACATATAATTAATTTTTTGATAATTTTGTGGATTGGATCTTTTTTGCTACGACCAATTTACTTATATTATATAATAACTACGTCCAACTTTTATCAGCAATTTAGTCTTCAAATGAAACGTATTTTTTTATAAAAATAAAACTCGATAATAACGTCAAATTAATTAGCGGACTGTGCCATCGTTTCGTCATTTAAGACCACAATAATAAAAAAGCAAGTACTACTCAACTTTTTGCAGAATACCAAACGTACAAAATCCTGCCATAGATACTCTATTGACAAACAACTGAGATGATTTAAAATTAGCAGACTTTGGGCCATGGGAATTCAGACAATCAATTAATAAGTTATTATCTAAAACATTAGAGCAATAGTAAAAAAATCTTTAGTATAATAAATAACTAAAATCTAATTTCGCTATGACGTTGTGACAATTAGTGGATTAGCAAATAACACCGTTCATGACATTTCAAATAATTTAGAAGGAGAGTGATAAAAGTGCAAATTTTATCGTATACAAGATTTTTTTATTTACTCATAGATTCTTTTATTTTGTCACATTTGAAAGCAAATACTATCGTAACTCAAAAACTGATTGAATTGAGAAAACACGACTTAACATTTAAAAAAGAATTGAATGAATCTTATTGCAAATAACGTGATTATTTTTATTTACAATACATAATATTTAGTTATCCGTTTAAAAATGAGAATATTAATTTATTGATCTCATTCATTATTTTTTTAATTTTCAATTCGTGTTTTCTCAATTCCAGAATTTTGAGTTACGACAGTATTTGGTTCCATGTGTGATGTGTTGGTTATATAATTTTTATTGATATTCATATTTTAGTTTGATTAACTTCTAAAGGAAAAACCGCTTATTTCGACATGAGCGGTGTTGTTTTCTTATCGACAAATATGTGTTTTAACCGAATAGTTGTTTGTTAAAGTGACAAATCTACCTCCATATTTCGCCGTGTGTTCTTTTTTCAATTTATAACGTGATTACGATTTATAGCTTACGGCAAAATCAAGAGTCGAACCAAAAATCCATCCAGAAGGACTTACAGTCTACTTAAAGACGGGTACATTACACAATTATTGCAATTTTCTTTTCAGTTTATTTGTAGACGGATATAGTAATTACTGATTGCATTCTATTTATGTTTATGCACAGGAAACGGAAAATAAAGCTTACAGTCCAAAAACCCTCGTTTAGCTGAAGAATAATAGAGATTTATTACTCGTTAAAACTGTAAGTACTCCGCCTTATATAGAAAAGCACCATAGAAGTCAAACCTTAAAAGGTTTGTAACGAAGAAAAGTTTAAAAGCAAGTTGTAAGTTCGCTTGGAAATTGAAGAAAACTATAAGTTTGGCAGTGTACGCTGTAACTTGAAGGGCTTGGGCTCGTAACTCGGCAAGATTCTACTCCCTTGAAAAACTACTGGCCGTTCATAGAAGAAAAAGAGATTTCGCTTCGTAACAAGAAATATCGGTAATGTGAGTCTTCAAGAACTTTTAATAAAAAACCACATGGAACACGTTAACAACAGTCAAACCTACCATTTAGCCGAATCGCCTAAACACTTATATTTCAACAACTAACCTCCAAGCCCTTCCAACTATGCATAGGACAAGGCCACTACGTCTTACAAATTAGTGACATTACTGAAAATTATTGCTAATCGAATATTGTTGGGACTACATGACCGTAGGGAATAAATGGTTACTACTTTATAGATTAAATACATTTCTTATCTTATTTCAATGAAAAGAAGTTACTGATCCACTTTGCCGGAATAGATTCATTTGAAACATGTAAAATATTCAAAGTCCTTTATCGAATTAATTAAATTTCATTATGAGGATAAATCAAAACGACATAAACGAATTTACCTTAACATCCGTTCAAACTATTATATGTGTAAGGCGAAATATAGTAATATTCTGTTTCTACTAATTACCTGTCAATCTTTAGGCAGTGTTACCGTTTTTTCCCCTCCTATTTTTTTTGTTCTACTAATATCTGACATTCAACCAACCAAACAGTATTTATATCTGTCAAGTTGTTGTGTCAGTACAAGCTATCTATTCGTACATGGTTGAATTTTAATGACTTATCAAGATTACCGTTTTATAGAAAACAGTTGTTCTATTTGACACGAGTAGCTGGCAGCGACGATGAAAAGCGACGAAGGGGCATTCGGGATTTTGCACGGCTAGGCGTATGTACGGGCTTCAGTTCGATTTTATCCTAAAGCTATTATTAATAGGTTTAAATGGCAACACTGACCCGGAAAGACAGTACATCAATACCAGCGCTCACGCTTTACACGATTACCCGGCAGATTTTGATTAAGTCTCTATTTCTTATTTGTGTTAAAAACCTGGCTTAAGAGTAAAGTTAGACCAAGTGCCCCTAACAATTCCATAACCATCTATTCTCTATGGCAGAACTCTATGGCTAACCTCTCGGATATACACTACGATTGTACTGCTCACATTAAACTATGACTATTTATGACTTCCAACTGTTATACAAATTGAACGTTCTTTTTAAAACGCTATCGTGTTCGGGTGTTTTGGAATTTAGAACCTATTTGTATATTGATATATTCGTATTCTCCCACTAATTCATTTAAATACATGTAGAGATTAGTTTTGTTATGTGAAAAGAGTATAGCGTTATTTTTAAAACGGGTTCTTACACAGTATCTTAAACAAGTTCATACATCACATAGAGTTAAATTCTTCACATTTAATTGTAGGAATAGCGACAAATAGCTTTAAACGTTAATGCTATGTGACTATCATCATAGTCACCGTTAAAGTGAGCGAACAACTTCGGTCTGCTACACCGACTATGTTTTAAAAACGATTTTCTAAAGACACCAAAAATTTGCTAATAATTTTGAGTTGGGACATATAGAATTCCTGGCGGTTATCTAAGTGAATTTTGATAAGTGTCTCCAGCATATTCGGTTGATACGGTAAATTTGCAACAGCCACAAGTTTTTATATAATGCCCATGGAATCACAATTAGAAACCTTCCCAAACACCCGAAACATCTGAATTTAAAACAATGATTGCTATAAATTAGGACACCATTAAACAATAATCTATCAAAATAAATTCGGTATTCTCCTATAAAATAAGCAAAACATGGAATGTTATCCTACAACATATTGTTACTGGCATCTCGTTAGTTTAAATGTTTAAAAAACGCAAGTTAAATTGATATATAACTAATAAACATGCGTAAATATTGTTATATATGTGTGAAATAAATACCGCTTCAATAAACTTATGTATAATACAACGTACCTAATTTTAACTATTGTGATTAGAATTTGAATGGTGTTGATTCATAACATTTTTTTTAATTACGATTTTAGTTTTAATAGGCTGTGTACAGTCGACCACACAGTTAGCAAGTATGCCTATTTTTGTACATTGTAGACTAAACTAACAATGTACGACGTCCTACTATCGACTCAAAACTGTGAATCTATTTGGCAGACTCAAAAAAGGCATCCCTTTATTTGTATCGACTGTATGATTCTTATGAGCTAAATATGCTTTCGTAATTCCGTTTCTTGAAAACCATGACATTCAATTATTTTTCGAGATTACTCCTTTAGATGATTATAATTATATATTAACACTAAGAAAACATTTCTTCGACCCAACCAACCAACGTCTTGCATCCAATAGTACCACACGCTTTGCCAACTATGCTACGGAACGAACTAGCGGACCTTACGAATTTTTCTATGTGCTTGTTGCAGATCTTTATATTTGGTTTTTAACGACTTTTTTGCCAAATCGAAGGATTGTTTTCTTAGTATTCCATCCTTGTATTAATCATTACTATATTCTTATGTTAAAAAATTATTTGGAAGTTGACATGAATGGAAGCCAAGGAATTAACCTCAATTTTACAGTTCCGTGGGTAACCCAGACCAGGAAAGTAGATGTAAAAAACACCACCATTCAAATGCTCACCACAAGAACACATTCACTAACCAGAAAATATTGGAATAACCTTCATAAGAATCAATTTCATAATTCAAATATTATTTTTAGAACAAACGTCTACAAACTACGAATATGATGTATAATGTAAAAGAAGAACTGTAGAAAGATTATTTAAAAAATATTAGGTACGTGACTTTACTTTCACTTGAAACCAGTATATCGTGCTTTAGATATGTATAGATATTATATATTTACGTATATCGACACTGGAAACGAATAAGCGTAAGCGTTCTTACTGTGTTCTTATTTTTGACTATAATGTATAATAAAACAGACAAATGAAAGTCACAAAGAAATGCAGCTTACACCCTTTTCGTTTCCAACAATCTTCTGACAGCGTTGACTAGCATATCGATCGACTGAAGCGTTTGTTAATGAATGCAACTTCTACAGACTAAATTTATATATAAATGCAATATATAACGAGTTTTAGTCCCGAAACACACGCCTTATATTACAGTATACGATACGAAGACAATCTTAATGTATATCACGAAATATTCACACGTTTAGCACAAACGGAGTGAAAACAGTGCAATCTATCAGCCATAAACGACATGTTCAGAACTCGGTAAAAACTATCGACCGAACGTCCGTCATAATCCCAATGAGATTTGCCAAAAACATTCGCACACAATGCACTCGGAGAAACGGACTACGAGCCTCATTCCAAAACGAACATCTCCCGGAAAGTCAATTAAAAGCTACGAGACAAAATGAAAAATACTGCCGAGACTCAGTTGCTTCTGATCCGCAGACGACTCGCGTCGTTCGTCCGCTCGCTCCTACATTGCTCCTTAGGCGATAATATCACAGATTCCTAAAAAAAATTAACGCTCAATTAGAGAGACTCACCTACCGAGACTATAGTCGAACGGTGACTCGGTAGGTGGCGGCAGAATTCACGCTCCAACGCCGCGCCGCGTCACACGGCGGCGAAGGGCGGCTGGCTTACTAGCACCGGGAGGAGAGGCAGCCACAGCTCAGTTTAACCTTCGGGAGCGCCGCCACACAGCCGTTCCAGCTCCAGTAGTTCCTGCAACACCGCAACACTTTGACAATACTTTGCTTCAATTAGCCCCACGTAGGGCGCCAAATTTAACTGTTAATACCGATTGAGTGCCTACTGTTTCTTATAAACTTTTTATACTCAAATATTGTTTACAAGAATGGAATGAACATCTACCTGACGTTCGAATTACATGTTTTGAGAGTCCCACGTTGGGCGCCACTCATGGAGATAAATTCTATTCAATGAACACTACGCCAACTTTATTTTTTGGTCATTTTTGTAAACAGCCATATTTATTTACTAATACTACGCTTCCCGAAACAAAAAAAAACATTTTTTTATATAGTATATATATATTCTAAATTTTTATTGAATTGATATTCCATTATTTTTTGTGAAATTACTCCACTAGTTTGTTATAATTATTAATACAAAGATCGAACACTCAGAAAAAATTCCTTCGATCAGGCCGGATTCGAACCGACGTCTTCTAGCTTCTGACACGGTAAGCTACAAGACGTATAGTATATATAAACGAATTTTTAGAATTAAAAAATAATAATCCAAAAATTAAGTCGGCGTAGTGTTCATTGGAGGTATCGAAATATTATTGAAAACAGGAAGGACCACATCATTGAAAACAGGAAGGGTCACATCACACACAGAAATGATATTTTCACTTGTCATGCTCTTGAAGTTCGTATTTGTGCTGGGTGTAGGCTGCATAAAATAAGATTTTATGCACTAGATATAAATATGTCTAATTGTTGTAATTTTATATTCAATTTTAATTAAGTAATCGTTTATTTGTAATATTGCTGTTTAATTTCCTCGCAATCGAAGTGCGCCTTAAGTATACTCGTCTCGGGTAAGATGACGCGTTTTATGCACTTGTTGTACATTCTGCTATATTAGAGGGCAGTTTGCCTTTTGCAATGAATTATGTGCAGCATCAGCGATGACACCGCGCGTACCTGGTCGCGGTGCTTCTGCAGCAGCGCGCGCAGGCGCTCGTGCGTGCGCGCCAGCTGCTCGCGGCGCCGCGCGTACGCCTGCTCCAGCCGCGAACACTCCGCCACGCCGCGCTCCACAGACTGCGCACATTCAATCGAACGATTATGTGCCTATCAGCCTCCTCGGCCTCGTGTCTATCGGCCCTCGAACATCGAGTATATAACCAGAAAAATAGAGACGAAATCACGCCATACATTCCTGGTAACACATTATACGATTACGATACAGCTCTTATAAATATCAACTCCCGTTTGCACTGAATTAGAGACAGGCCAACTACTGACCTGTGTGTACGTCTCCGTATATTCTGTATTTATTATAATAAAGATATTGTCTCTAACAATGCCGTGCTGTTCTATTCGGTGGTGTGGGAAACACAGCAAAACATCTAATTACACAACAAACGGAATTACATTTCATCGGTAATTCAATATTAAACATGTCATTTTGCAATTTTCGTCCATTATAGCAAAGCTCAAGTTAACTGGTCGATTTGAAGTGAAACAGTTGACGACACCCATTGACGACACCCGCCAAGTGTTTCAAACTCGGGCTAGCCAATCGGAACGCAGTTGTCACAGTAATGATATGGCAAAATAGTTTTCAAACAAATTAAATGACATTTCGTCTCTATTTCTGGTTATATACTCGATAGACTCGATCAACACTCTTGAAAGCATGGAACCTACGAGAAAATCAAAACGATTCCCTAGTATTCCACTGACCAAGTGAGAGGTATGCTTATGATGATCAGACGGAAATAACCGTATAGAATTTTTTTAATGTAATAATTTTTCTTGTTTACCTGTGAGTGAATTTCTCTTTTTATCCTAAGTATCTCATCTTTGTCCCTGTTGGTTTTCTTCGCTAACGCCTTCACGTCTTCCTTCCGCGAGTTTGCCAGTCTAGTCAATATCTCCTTCTTTTCAACTTCTAACAAATCCTGTAATTAATTGTTCATTTATTTATATTATATGAAATTAAAAATTTATTTAATTTATGTATTATAGATTAAATAATATTGCAATAATATGCTCACGGTAAGTGCTTTCATCTGGTGTTGCTGATCATTTCGAACTTGCTTGTCGAGCGCGCCGTAGATGGCGTGGTGGTAACGCAGGCGCAGCTCGCGCTCTGCCGCGGCGAGTTCGTTCGAAGGGCCCGTCTCTTCGCCGCCGCTCGTGCTCGCCTCGCTCAATGGATTTCTAATAACAATACCTTGTCAGTTTTAGTAACCATAGATTGACAAAATTCATAAAAAGAGAATCAGTGTAAAAGCTTTTTAAATGTATTTTGTAAGTTTAATAGAGGAACACTTTTCCACAATCTCACCTGATATTAAGTGACGATTTGGTCGACGATTGTAGCGCATTTGTCTAGTATACTGTATTTGACGTTAAAAAACAAAATAACAACGACATCACGGTGAACACTGTGGACGCAGTTGACGATAGTAGATGAGGTTCTAAGGACTTGTAGATCGTGTCCTATCAAATTAAATATCGTCGCTTAGCAAACAACGCCGCTCAAGAAATTTCAAGTAATTTTAAGCTTTTTCGCACAAAATTTTGTAACCTATTGTTGGCATACCATAGTATGCATAATACGATATGTAGTGTAATTCTTGATTTCGAAAAGATTATTTCAATATAGCACGAGAATACAGTGATGACCACCTACAAAATTATTTCAAATTATGTTTACAACCTGTAGGAATAGCTAAAATAATAATGTGACAACCCTATGCGGGAGAACAACACTACTTGTCTTATTATACTATGGTAATAGACATTCTATTTAAGAATAATAAATAATTGTTTCTGTGTTGCTTACATCATTTTTGTTCATATTCAGGTTTCATTTTCATTTCAGTAATATTCAAAAATAGAAATGGAATTTTCGACTTGACCGATGTTGCTTGCTAAGCTACTGATTGTTAACTGCCTCTGTGGCTGAACGGTTACAATGCTGGTCTACCACGCAGCGGTCCTGGTTTCGATTCCCAAGCCAGGAAAATATTTGTATGGCCTTTGTTTATTTCCTCGTAAGTTTGGGTGTCATTTGCGGTAGTCTATGTGTATTCATGGCACCCTCGACACAGGGTTTCCCTGGTAGGAATGAGTGTGTACTTATTATTATTAATGTTAGAAATGTATTCAAACAAAAATAAAGACATCTGAATTCTGAATCTATTCAACGTAACATTATATTTTCTTTTTTTAAAGGTTTTCACTTACATGTTCTTAGAAGACAGCCGCTTGACAAAGAACTTCGCGGAAACCGGCCGCTTGTCCTTATCGTACTTCCTCCTGAGTGCATCGAGCTTTCGCGCGAGCTCCTGTCGCTTCTCGCGAACCACTTTCGAACTAAGGAGGGTTTCTATTGTTTCCGCTAGATGCTCATCTGAGCTGCCGTTTGATTTGTTCTGATCTCTTTGTTCTGGAATTGTAAAAAATATCACATTCATTATATGACAACCCAAATTCGATAATTTAACCACAGAAGAACACAATAAATATAATTATTATTGAATAAGTATTTTGTTATTAAATTTAAAATATGGGGATACACGCTTACAGCCTATTTCAGAAAGCTTTGAACCAGAGATGTCCAAACTTTTTTGTCTCGTAGGTCACGTATGTAACGTGCAGGGTTATTTGTAAAATACTAACAATCTTGCAGTACTATATTACTAACATCATAAACAACAACTATTGTTCCATGACTTTCTACAACATAACATATTTACCAGAAACAAATTTTTCAACGTGATATTTTATTTAATTAAAAAAACAACGGTACGTCCGTGCTTGAAAAAGGTATTAATAGACTAAAAAAAATTAACAGTGTACCCTGAAAGTTAGAGAACTAGGCTAGACGTGACCTACTGACTTGCGGACTTGTTTTATTTAAGTTTGCTCCAGTCACATCCAGTGACGTCGAAAACTCATTCAACCAGTACAAAGCGTTGTTCGCGTTGTTGTAAGCGTTTGCTGTAGCCGCGAAACTTCATACAAATATCTAGCTAGATGTCGCGCGGTATTTTTCGCAAGCCACAGCAGTGGGAATAATGTTTATATATGAACAGGCCTTAACTTTGAGCGTGGGTGCTTTCTTTTGCTACCGCAGAGCGTTATCACCATTTAGAGTAGAGCAATCTATTTAAATGTTTTCTTCACTTGAACCTTTCAGAATAACCTTTTATTGGAAAAGTCCCTTTACTCAGTAGCAGAGTACATTCAAAGTACTATATAAACAATTAAATTATATTTATTAATGATTTTGACATTCACCGTATTGTTATACTTTAATTTACACTTATTAGTCATTATGTGTTCATATTGACATTTCCTGTATACAGTACCCACATTTGGCATTGTTATTTTAATTCAATTATTTATCAGTTTCATTAATTATGTTGATTTCTATATGTACTTACTGTTATATAATTGTTTCTTCATTATTTTGTAAACTGACGCTCACTTTTCAAATAGTAGTATAAAATTACATGTAACTGTATTTGTATGAAATTCTTTGAGGAAAATTTGTGCAATTTGTGAAAGAATTTGTGAAAGATGTGTACTAGAATAGAGAAAGTAATGTTAAGGTGGTTTGGGCATGTAGAGCAGACGGATGTAAGAAGAATTACCAAACAGATTTGTGATGCAAATGTGGATGGAAGGATTCTAAGAGGACGTCTCAGAAGGACTTATATTGATCAGATCAGTGAGGTCTTCAAAAAGGCTGGGATCCGAAGTGACAATAATAAGAGAAGTTGTATGAAAAGGGTAGGTGATGCATGTGAGCCTCGAGAGTTGTGTCAGGATAGAGCAAAGTGGCGTTCCGTGGTAGGGACCACGGTAGGCAGGGGCCTACCCCTCCTATGGGACTTGGGCGTGAGCTTTATGATATTTGTAATATTGAGAGAAACAAACTAAACATGAAAATAAAGAAAGTAAAATCTGATGAATTATTAAAAGTCACGCTACAAAAGTTGTTGTTTATGATGTTAGTAATACACATAATCTTGCGAGGTTGTTCGTATTTCACAAATAACCCTGTATAATGCGCTTAATTAGTATGAAATTTGATAAATTGGAAAAAAAAGGTCTAAGGACGTTTGCGTCAGCCCTTAAGCTAATACAGTATAATATCGATATACGAACCTTGAGTCTCCTTGTTACTATCCTTCTCTTCAATGACGGGTGGCGCAGATGCACTGAGCGATTCTTGTTCTATCAGCTTCTTGGTCGCCGTTATAGCTACATTGGTCTTGCTCGGACTGCCGTCTGCCGCGCTCTCCTGTTTAGTCTGCAATTTGGTTCATTAACATTTTAACACCTAACCAAAATCTATGAAATGACAACTCTGCAAGGAAAGAAGTGACCTGTTTGATGGATTGAAACGATCTTTAGTTTTTAATTATTGCATATAAAGTGATAGGCAGAAAAATTAAAATATTTACAAATGACTGGGCAGGCTGTGGCTGGGAACTCGGTCGGCGTGGTTGCAGCTGCTCCTCTTCAGGCTTAACGTCCATGTCTTCCGTCAGTACAGCTAGTTGGTGTTCGCGCTTATCTAATTCACTTTGGTACTTGATTGGGTTCGCTAAGGCCTCTGCTAGTTCAGAGAGTCGGTCTGGTACATAATCCTGTAATGTATAACGAAACATTGATATTGAAATATTGATAGTAATATTTAATCTAATTGTAAATATTATTTGTTCGATGTGTTTCATCCAATACGAGCTATGGTAAAATAACAGCGAGGGCTACATATTTTCGTCCTAAAGAGCAGAATCATACACCAGTATGACATCCTTTATTGCTTTATTCAAACCTAGAAGAATGTTTTACTATTACATCAATACCATTGCATTTAAGTTAATATGAAATTGAAAGGAAGCTATTCGGAGTATGGAAATGCTGAATTCAAATGAAAGCCTATATCTATAGTTACAATGAGAAAAAACATTGCGTTATTACATTTTATTTGTTATTATTACATTATTTTCTATAAATGTTTGTGATTTACGTGATTTTACAAATCCAATAAAGCTTTTTTTTAATCATAGTATTTTTTAGCTTTCAATTGAATTTGTCATAATGATCAAGAGAAGCAAACAATATCGCCAACAATTTCACCTTAACAACAACGAGCAGCAACAAACTAGCGGGTAGAGGCAAGCCGAGTTCAGTACGAAGGTTGACGTGTCGGTACCCGGGGCACAGCCCCACCACGGGCAGGACTCTATGTCCGATTAGTCTGCCGCTTTCTTCGTGCGCAGCTATACGGATCATTGCTAGCTCTGGCAGCACAACCTGGAAGAATTTTCAAATGAGACACTAATACTTATTCCATTCAGGGAGATATGGGATTTAAACAAGCCAAACGAGCTTCTTACGTTACATCGACAAAAATAGTGTTATTTTAATACCCATAATTATTAGCATTTTTTGTATTACGTTAAACGACGGGATGAACAAGTCGGCTGGTAGTAAGCGAAATGGCTATCCATGACAGTTGTAGTGCCTCTGAGTGGCACTCTTTCAATGGCAACGATCTGAGACATAAGTTGACAAGTCTCATGTGACTCCATTCATATAACTGACTAAAATTATGTTCATTCATTCCCTTATAACAATATACCTACTAGAACATATCTATTCAATTCGACTCTGAATCGTGTACGTACGTCATAAGAGCAAAAATCGCAAAACAAAAGATACTGTTGTTAGGATACAAAATAATGTGCGATGAAAGTACACCAACGCTCGACCGCGGAACCGCCATATAAACAAAATGTTTTACGATGTCGTGAAATTTACACCTAATTAACGTTTTATGTGTTGACTTTGGACGTAAATTTCGTCAAATTTCGTTTAAAGAAATGTCTATTTACCTAGTGACAATAAGTTTATAAGGTCAAGCTGAATAGAGAAACACCGGGGTAAGAGAGACTTGAAGCCTTAACTCATAATCTAAAGAGTTAAAGCGCTATAATAACAATACATTTATTTGTCATAATAATAATACAACCTACAAAAGCATATTTAAAATTTCCGAAATCTTATTTTTAAATCCTCCTTCAATTCCTTACACTTAGATACTCGTTCGGTTACGATTGAAATTTTCGATTTACTAATCGATTACGAAAACTTTAATTGAATGACCTGGAAGTTTCTTTTTTCGGACAGCACTATGCAACCATAGACTGTTCATATATCTTTAATTAAAGGGGTCGCTCTACGACCGATGCTGGTGTCGAGTTGATTAATCATATATTTGATGCATGGGAAGTCTCACATGACGCTATTGGTGTATTCGGTGACCTTTCCAAAGCTTTTGATTGTGTGCACCATGATACACTGGTCAGGAAACTTCGCCATTATGGTGTGGCGGGACGTGATCTCGACCTTCTAAAATCGTATTTGCGTGGTAGGGTACAGAGGGTCGATGTTAACGGTACGAGATCGTCAGGATCTGCAATTAGCATGGGTGTCCCTCAAGGTTCAATTCTAGGCCCATTTTTATTTTTAGTTTATATTAATGACTTACCTAGCCTTATGGAGGGTATAAAACATGAGATAGTATTGTTTGCTGATGATACTTCCTTATTATTTAAAGTTAAAAGGCACCAATGTTCCTACGACGATGTGAACAATGCTATATCTAAAGTAGTTGATTGGTTTGCTGTTAATAACCTACTTCTTAATGAGAAAAAAACAAATTGTGTGAAATTTACATTACCCAATGTTAGAGAGACCGTTACAAACATTGTAGTTAGAAACGAAAAATTGAATCTTGTGGATACAGTTGTATTTCTAGGTATAACGTTATATGCTAAATTGCAATGGGGTCCCCATATAAGTAAGTTATCAAAACGGCTCGGCTCTTTCAGACGTCGAAACCGCTAGATTGGTTTACTTGAGCTACTTTCACAGTCTAATGACATACGGCATTTTGCTTTGGGGTAATGCCGCCGATATCAATAGAATCTTTGTCCTGCAGAAACGTGCAGTTGGGCAATTTACAATCTGGGCCCCAAAGTATCTTTGAGAGATAAGTTTAAGGAAATTAAAATTCTTACACTAGCCTCACAGTACATTTATGAAAATGTAATTTATGTTAAAAGGAATAGTAATTTATTTATGAAAAATAGTGACAGACATAACATTAATACGAGGGATAGAAATAAACTAGCTTGTTTGATAGTCGTCTTCACAAAGTCAAAAAATCATTTAAGGGGCAATGTATACGCTTCTATAACAAGATTCCGGTTGATATACAAAATTTGCCTTTCACGAGGTTTAAAACTATAGTGAAACAAAAACTTTATACTAAAGGTTATTATACAACTTCTGCGTACTTGGATGACAAAAATCCGTGGTAGTAACCCGTTTAGCTCATGGAGGTAGTCTCGATCTCTGATGTTTCAAATAAAAAAAAATATTGTAAATGTTATTTACAAAGAGCAACCCCTAGAGTTTCTTGCTCATTCTTCTCAGGGGAATCTGCCTTACGAATGAGCGGTAGACTTTAACTATTGTGACGATTTCAAGTGTAATAATGCCTATATATACCTATATATACCTATGAAATAAAGATTATTTTGAATTTGAATTTAAAAAAGAATCTCACTTTTTGACTACTATTTTTCAAATACGATTTTACGATGTTATTCAAATGGATATTGTTGGAAAAAGTGATGAGATATCAAGTCAAAATCTTCGAAATATACGTGAAAGTGTTACTTATTTGATTTATTGAGTGATTATTTTAGAAATTCAACCAAACTGTTTTGTTTACGATGTTCGTGTTCGTTTAAAATGGATTGGAACAGACTATAAATTGAAATTGAAAACCCACCTGACCTATAGCTTATAATATAACATTCAAAAATAAAACTTTTGCAAGTGATGATAACACGTTACGTTGGAGAAATTACCATTATCAACAAGCGCAAAACCCACTTATCCTACAAATTGAAAAGCTTTGATGGATGGATGGATGAATAATTTGGATGTTAATCTCTGCGAATCGGATAAAGGGATTTTGTTGAATTTCGCAAACAGATAGTGTTATATAACCTGAATTAACACATACAGGAAATGAAACTATTTTTTCCAATATAAAACTTGTATATTTGTGTTTTTCAAACAAATCAAGACATTTCGGGCCTTTGCTTTTGTTAATAAATCAGATTAATATAGATTGATTAATAACTTAATAGATAGATTGATAGACAGAACAAAAGCTAAGGGTCTGAAACGTTTCGATTTGTTTGAAAAACACAAATATACGTGTTTTAGAATGGAAATCAAATTGAAAGACGAATTATTACCACAATGCCTAACGAAATACATAGCATAAACGCTACAACACATACTCGTCTACTCCAAACACATCATCTTGCAAGAGTGTACAATAGCAGCTCTTTATGCGAGGCGAACTCAAATACCCTTTGACACATAGAACAATATTGTTATCGAACTGCAGTGTCTTTACCATAGTGCCGTCATCTTGACAAGACAGCAGACTAAACAAAGACAAGTTCACAAAGATTAACAACCGCGAATAATTTACAATGTAAACAAATCGATTGAGTCTGCAAATTGTCGCGGCACAAAGGCGTTTGACATGTAAACACAATGTCGGTGTGAAGTCACCGCATGCAGGGATGAGAAATTTAAACATTCAAAGAACTCTAATTAACGGTGGTGAGAAACGGATTTACGTAATTTTGTGTCCCTACATACACCGCTTCCGTAAGGATACAATCGAAACTGAATCTGACTAAAAAAATTCTAATCTAAACTGCGAGAGGTATGTCATCGAAAGTTTCTGTAAACCGCCACCGATATTAAATTTCTTTTAATCAACGTTAAACTTATTCTACATTCGTTCATTTATTCATTCATTTATTTATTATTGTACTGAATGAAGACTGAGTAGCTTTGAGACCCGTCCAGAAACCAGAACTCTGCTAATATTTAATTAGACGGGTTAGTATATCACGCATCGTAAACAAAACAAAATTATCAAAATAATTAGGGACACCTTGAGAGAGGGGCTAAATAAAATATTATCTACTTCCGTTATCTCTCCATCTCGGATTGAAATTACGGAACTTTCAACGCAATGGCAGTCCGAATGTGTCCGTAATGATGACATCGATATTATAATTCGACAACGTTCAATGTTATGCGACCAAATTAAAAGTACTTACCTTTTTGAAATTGAAAGGCTCTTCTCCATAAACAGGGTTGATCCCATTATTAGGCACCACTCTAGTACGGAACTTCTTCCGCACGGTATCGGCAGGCAATCCAAACATATCCACCTCGACGTACGTGCCGCAGCGCTTGTCTGTTAGTAGTTGTCCGGAGAGAACGGTGACGGATAGAGACCCGGCAATTATGCCGTCGACTGTACTTTCTGCGAACGGGTCTAAGCGACGATCCTAGGGAACAAATAAGACTAAAGTTAGTTACTAAATTATTTTATGTAATTTGGACATAGTTTTATACGCCCACCACATTTTTAGGCAAGCTAAATTATTTTAAGCAACATAGACGACATTATTACAGCATTAATTTATATTTATTGTTTTGCAATAATTTCATTGAATTTAGTGGAGATATGTCATGCAACTACTAAAATAAAACGTAATCAATTTCAGAATCTACTATCTACATAACTGAGTAACTACAGCCCGCATTATTTAGGACTAAATTATTATGTCAATAAAAAAATATATATTTTAGTTTACAAATAGCTACACTGTAAAATTGTGATTAACTAACGACAAAATACTAAAGAAAAATCTGTACTTTGACTTTTGGTATTACAAAGTCGTCTGATATCAAGAAAATACGGTAGCACATGGACCTGACGATTATCACGAGTCGCAATTACCATTTCAAATAGTAGATCTTGTTCAAATTTGAAAAAAATTAGAAAAGTATAATTTGAAGATTCATATTACGTTATAAACATATATAAACATTGCTGAACGTAATTTTCTAAGCCCTGCTTGGTTTATTTTCACAAATTCTCATAATAGAATTCAGTGTTTTCAACTTTTGACAAGTGTCACAAACAAAAAATATGAGAAAAATATAGGACAAATTTCAGGAAAATATTTATTTCTCTGAAAAATATGATTTTGCAAAATGGAAATTTTTCCATGACCCAATCTACATAGCAACACGACGTAAACTTATCTAATAATTAAAGCTAAAACAATTTCCTCTCACCTTTCTCCTCATGAATTCAGGCTTGAGCAGATATCCACAACGGCGGTTGTACTCGAAGGTGCCAAGATTAAGCTGCATCGCCAGATCCAACGTCTGGTAGTTCAAGGCCACTAATTGGCACCCTGCGTTCCAGAACACCTGAGGAATTATCAGTAATGTTACCAATTTGAAGTACAGTTAAAAGATGAAAGAAAGAAGTACAACATCGTTTTTCCAAAGACATTCGTAATAATCATTCCTCCGATCCGGCCGGTTTCGAACCAACGTCTCCTAGCAAACCGTGCCAGACGCTGTGCCAACTAAGCTACGGAACGGACCAGCGAATCTCACGAATTTTTGTGTGTACTTGTTGATGTGTGAATTTTTGTTCACTTTTAAAAACATGATTAATTATTGCTGTTTCGTGTGAGGTATCACTTATGCGGATATCTTATAAATTTTTGAAATGGACCTACAAACCTGAGGTAGAATAAATAAATGTACCTTAATTTTGTTTGTAGGTCGTAATTTTAAGTTTATTACAAAATGTGAGGTTTTTTCGCCATTGTTTTTAGTGTGTCAGGTAATTCGCTTTTTTTACTGCTCTGTAATGTGGGCTATTTCCATACGGGGTGTTGGTAAGACTACGTTTGAAATACAAACGTACCAGACAAGGCGGTCACTTTTAACAAATTCAAAATTATTAATATTTTTCCTAGCAAAATGTGTTTGAAAAGATTGTGCTTTCGGAAGTGAAGATACATCTTGACACTTACTTGCGGCATGAAATTGGACGAATCAAATCTAGTGCCGGCAGGATAGACGCGAGACAGTTGGTGCTTGTTGTAGTTGACGAATTCGATCGGGCGTTCTTTTAATAAAGTAGTTGCTTGCTTCTCATCGAAAGATGACATCTCGTAGAAACGGTTCTTCTCTGTATAAGAAAATTGCAATATGTGTTAAGGCGATTATCACCAAAAATTGACCAGGGTGTATCTCATAAAAATGCACAAAAATCCCCCCATGTATTATAGTTTTTGTAGACCGTTGATCACTCGTTTACATTTTCCACATTCAGGTCTTCTCATATTTGATTCTTTGCCTTGGAGCCTATCCGAGTACAACGGTATAAATATCTTTTTAATACAGTTGCTCAAAACGTGGTATTTTTCGCACTACAAATCGTGCGGAAAGTTGGATTTCTCGCACTAGTGCTTTTTACTTTTCCAGTTTTTTTTTAATTTACTGTTTTTTTAAGTCTTAAACATAGAACTAAAGAAGTTGTATATTTATTTAATATTTATGTGCTTTGTGACGTACATAAGTCATTCGTCATTAAAACTTATATTTATTTACAAATACTATATAATGAACGTATCGAGTGGAGGTCCACAGTCTCTCCCTACCCCTGAATGGGTGACAGGCGAGATTTTTATGTATATATTTATTTGTTCTATGTATTACAGATAAATTGTATCTCACTACCGTGCACGGGTTTCATAATAAGAAAAGTGGTTACAGACCGATATTACAGAAAATAAACAAAAACAGCACGTTAGATTTCCATAGAATTTTAACTAATGGTTGCAGTGGTTGTATTTCATTATTTTAATTTACTAGCAGAAAATGAGTTTTGTTTAAATACTGTTTTATTTTACTTTCAATGTAGTTTTTTCGCAAATGTATTAAAAACGTCGTTTGATATACGTGCGGATTTGTCATTTTCACTTGTCTCGCGTCTTGACCCTCGCCTCTGGCTCGGGCCAATTAGCCTCGAGACTCGTGAATAATGACTAACTTTCCGCACTTATATCAAAAATAACTATTTTTCCACCATATCGGGACGTATGCGTTCTATTTTTTTAAGTGAGTCTAAACTTGTAGCTTTATATATATAATAGTTAGCCTATATAATATAGTAACATTGCTCGTGATAGGCCTCCTCTCATAATGGCAGGGCTTATGCTGTAGTTCCCATGTGAGCCCGACGCGGATTGAGAACTTCACACACATCATTATCATTAATGCCGCCTCCGCAAACTTTTGAACTTTTATATAGGTTAGGTTGTGTGAAAATATATTTTGAACTTTTTGACTCACTTTCTGCATTTTCGAACGAGCTAAAGTGCACGGGCTGCACGTAGTTGACGAGCGCAGATATTTCAGCACCAGCATGAGTTTCGCGTTTTTCTTCCCCCGACCCCGTTTCCGCTACGGCTTCTTCCTCGCCTGACGAGCTCTCGGAGTCTGATGACTCGGTTGATTCTTTGGAACCTTGGCGAACTAGCTGTTGAAATAAAATCCCATTGAATTATCATTATTAGTGCCGGTTTGGCAATACTGTATTTTAATTGAACCGTTTTTACTTAATTGTCTCTGTGTTTGGTATATTTAATGTGTTCTTGACCATTACGGGCCACAGCAGCTAAGATTATGTACTGTATAATGTTGTGTAGATGAGTCATTTAGCTTGTTTGCTTTATTATTAATTTGTATCCATTGACTTATAAATAAATGGACGACGGGTCTAATACAAAAACCACGAAAAAAATGTCTCAAGTCAACCTATTTAAACATAGTGACATTGTAAATGAATATGAAAAAGCGAAAACGTTGAATTTAAATTGTAATGTCATCGCAGTACTGTCTAATTTTGCTTGCTTCGCTGTCAGTCGAACAAACGAAGACTAGAGCGTGAATGACGCTCTGTATACGATTTTAACGCCCTATAAGTTCGGACACTTTTTAGCGCGGACCCGACGTCCATATAATTGTAAGTCAATATTTGTATCTGTCTTTTTTATAGTTTTGGCTGCCAAATAGAACAATTTTGATTTTGACATTTGTTCAACTTATACTTATATTGGGTGTAACTAAAAGACATAACCATATGTCACAAAAATTTTAAGTATAAGGTATTTAACTATAGCGAAAAATAGTGACAGAATAGGACGGTTTGCATTAATGTTAGACATAACTGGTTGATGATTTTACAATCTCAGTCAGCCGTGACCATGGGACTAGGGTTCAGATCCGGGAAATCCCAGTCTCGAAAGTATTGAGAATTCCCGATGAGAGAAGAGATCTTTTATTGTAATGAGCGAACCGGGAATTCAAAATTGTTTCCCGGTTCTTTCGATACTTTCGGAAATCAACGTCGATGGTGTTATTTCGGTTTTAATTACGCGCCAAAGGCAAGTTGATGCTAAACGACGATAAATGTGGGCAGGGGGAGGGAGTAAAAAAACCCGAAAATGTTGTGTTTGTTTGAAAAAAAAACAAATATACACGATTTAGATCCGAAAAAATAGTTTCATTTCCTATGAAATAACCGCGAAAACCTAAAAACTCGATTTGTAATAGAACATTTGATTTCCCATACAAATTGTACGCGGTCAATTGAAGATTCTTTAGAAATGCAAAAGCTTTCGCAAATGAATTTAAATTAATCACTTTGCAAAAGTTATTTGTTATCATGGGTAATCGCTAATAGAAGTATGACCACATCTTTTTGCTACACCATGTATACATTATGTTTAGTAAAAATAGGTAACGAATAATAGATGTGTTTTTCGAGAACACATCTATTTTTCCTTGTGGCTTGATGGATCATGAACTTTTAAGAAAGGTCTAGAACTTACAGATCCATGCGAAATATCGCCATTGCCCTGTGCCTGCTGTTCAGGCTGCTCTGTCTCTTCAGAAGTCACCGAGTCTTCCTTCTTATGGTGGTGATGGTGTTTCTTCTTGTTCTTTATAATTATCTTGTGCCATAGGGACGAAGGCGGCGGGAGCTCCCCTCCTGTAATAGATATTTTAATTATAATATTATGTTTATTGAAAATCACGTTGTTTTAGTGCAATGATATTCAATTATTTTTGTAACATTAAATTACTACTAGTTTGTTATAATTATTAATACAAAGATCGAATACAAAGAAAAATTCCTTCGATCCGGACAGATTCGAACCAGCGACCTTGCCATACCGTGGCTGACGCTCCCCCAACTGAGCTAACCACGAAACAAACCAGCAGATAGATTTTCTCTGTGCTTATTGCAAAGCTTTGTTTTTCGCTTCAAGGACTTTTTGCCGTAGCGCCCTCTGTGAGAAATATGTAAAAGTTTTTCTTCACTCAGCCAGATTTTTTATTATAATATCAAGTGACGGGACGAACAAGTCATGCGCCTGATGGTAAGCTACACGCCTGTCCGTAACAGTTGCAGTGCCACTCAGAGCTTCAAATCGCAAAGATCTGAGGGCACTGCCACTGCGCCCGTCACCCTGAGACTTAAGTTGACAAGTCCCATGTGTTTGTAATTTCACCAGCTTTATAACCTTTGTAATTTAATTATTAAAAAATATTTACTAAAGGAATAAAAACTGTGTTAACATTCATCATATGTAATTATAAGATGTAGGTAAACCACGCTGTCAATCTTCAAGCGAAACCGAAACCACTAAGTACAGGTGATTTAACAAGAGTTAAAGTAACCAACACAGCTGTAGGTTTGCGTCTATTAGTGAATACGCACACGGTTGCTACGGCAACGTATAGTAATCATTCATAATTCACACGTATTATAACAGCTTAGGCTATTTCGTACTAGTAGGAGTAGTATAAGAAGTACGCTTATTGCTCTCTTAATTCAACGACCGTGACTTTTTGGGTTGTTGCGGTCCGAATCTTCTTAAGCCATTATTACCATTATTATACCCAAAGTCAAGTGGTATGTATGTATATGGGCTAACCTTAGAGACATACGGTGTCCCTGACGATTTTGGTACTGCAGCCTTAAAGAGACACAGGTTATCTCTAAAACGTGACAGGGTTTTCATCCACCATTTTGAAAAAAAATACAATATTATAAAAAAATATTGCTTTTTTACCATAATCGGTAAGGACGCTGTGTGTCTCTAGGACGCGTGACGGGTTTAGTGATGCAACAGACCTCAGCTTCTGCTTCCGCAATTGCGGAAGTTCCGCAAGCTTTTTCATATTTGTTTCCATTTTTGCTTCCACAACACTTGCAACGGAACTTTAATCGGAAATTTACAACGTTAGCGACGGATCAGGCGCTGGTGGAGCGCGCATTTTTAGTAGTTTTGAGTTGTGTAATAATTAGACTTAAATTATTAAACCAAAAACAAGCCCTGTTAGAGCCCTGTTGTATTATTTTGTTGAATTATTTATAGTAATTGCGCTGCCGCTTCCGTTTCCGCTAAGATTTACATATGACATGTGTTTCTGTTTCCGTTATGACGCTTCCGTTATATCACTAGTTAATATGTACTCGTAATTACAAAAAAGGAAGATTGCAGACCTCTGTATATTTCATAGGGTTGCTGAAGCTGAGTGGATGACGGATTCCGTAACAGCTCACAATCTGTTATGCTCATTATATATTCATTAAATAAATGTTTAACTAAGTTATTTATTCATATTATTAATTTACACATGTTCTATAATGAAGCATGTTGTGCTTTTCAGTTGCTTAAAGTCTTGTGTTGTAGTCGTAGTCGTAGTAAAGTACTATATAATAAAACAACAGACAACATAATCTAGATAAAAATTTAAAGCTACAGAGACAGCATCTTATAGTCAACCTCGGCCGGAGCTAAGTTCCACACAATACATCGCCGAGATTCAATAAAATTTTCATTTGCATTCGCGTTGACGAACACCGACACCGTACCAGTCTTGATTAAGTTTCACATATAGGAGGTTCGCTAGTGTAACTTTAATCAAATCTGGTCTTATTGCGCTGATAATAATAAATAGAGATCGAAATACGTAGCATAAATTTAAATTCATATAGAGTGGATAATATCACTGAAAACCCGGAGTTACTGTATTTTTAGGTTGTAGACCCGTAGGACGTATCTATATTCACGACGACAGCGTTTGATGCTTGAATATTTTAATGCAGTTTATTTATTTTTGTTTTTTTATTATAATTATTTCATGACTATTTGCAATAATAGTATCGTACTTTCGCATGGTATGTGCGTAAAGATTTTCCGGTTTTCCTAAGTTACAATATTGACAGTTTTGATTTGGGAAATTTTTATCTTAATGTAATTGGTATCATGAGGGTCTTGTTACAAAAGGACACACGCACGGCGACTGGAATCGATACTCGCGATTGTATCGATGCAATCGCCTATAAATCCCAAGTGTATCGATGCAGACGCGCGCTTGCATCGCTGCTTAAAATCGCGCGCGATAAAACTTTCAGACGTCGAAACCGCTAGTTTGGTTTACTTCAGCTACTTTCACATTCTAATGACATACGGCATTTTGCTTTGGCGTAATGCCGCCGATATCAACAGAATCTTTGTCCTTCAGAAACGTGCAGTTAGGGCAATTTACAATCTGGGCCCCAAAGTATCTTTGAGAGATAAGTTTAAGGAAATTAACATTCTTACACTAGCCTCACAGTACATTTATGAAAATGTAATTTATGTTAAGAGGAATAATAATTTCTTTATGAAAAATAGTGACAGACATAACATTAATACGAGGAATAAAAAAACTAGCTTTTCTTGATAGTCGTCTTCACAAAGTCAAAAAATCATTTAAGGGGCAATGTATTACGCTTCTATAACAAGATTCCGGTTGATATACAAAATTTGCCTTTCACGAGGTTTAAAACTATAGTGAAACAAACAAACAAACTTTATACTAAAGGTTATTATACAACTTCTGGGTACTCGGATGACAAAAATCAGTGGTAGTAACCCGTTTAGCTCATGGAGGTAGTCTCGATCTCTGATGTGTCTAATAAAAAAAATATATATTGTAAATGTTGAATGTGTACAAATGTTATTTACAAAGAGCAACCCCTAAAGTTTCTTGCTCATTCTTCTCAGGGGAATCTGCCTTACGAATGAGCGGTAGAGTTTAACCATTGTGACGATTTCATGTGTAATAATACTTACCTATGAAATAAAGATTATTATGAATTTGAATTTGAACTCTTTCACAAGGAGCTCTACTGCTACTAACAGCGTAATGAAAGAAATCGATCACAATAACGAAATAGATCGATTAACGTAAACGTGTCACGTTAAAACAGAGGCGCCGACACAGCAACACCGGATTTTAATTTTTCTTTAAATGCATGGAACATACGGCGGTTTCTCTAACATTGTAGCCTTCGTGGTAGTGCATTTTTTAATTTAAAATAGCAATCACCGCGATTTAAACCTTTATTCTAAAGTAAAAATGTTACAAAATTCATGTTCCGATGCCAAAAAACAATATTTATGACGATCATTAAAACAGAATAGGTTAGCCGTATACAAAAAGAATATTCAAACGCATCAACGGAGTATAAAATAAATATTTTAATACTACAAATATTTTCAGGATACGGCGCAGATGCACGCGTAAAAAATTTTGAATCATAATATTTGATAGCGAAGTCAATATACCGTTTTTATAGATTATTAACAAAAAAAAAACTATGATACCAAGTTTGCGCATCGGTCTAATGTTTGCCAGTCAAAACGTAGACGCGGCAACAATCTAATCAAGGTTCCTGACAGTCAACAAATACAAATAGCAGTTCAAAAGATCGATTGTGTATTGAACAAATTCCATTATTTACGTTTACAAGAAGGCAGATGCTTGATCGAGTTCAAAGATAAACAGCAGGTAGACTTCAAAGATTATGACGGCACATCAAGGTGAAAAATAGCTTCATATTTTCCAATTAAAATCTTTTCTAAGCATCGATCACACAATCAACCTTTTGCTTCAGTAAAGGAAGGAAATAGGGTTCAATATTACAGATTTTGTTTATACAATGTAGTTTACAGGTTAATAAGCTTTGTCAAGAGTTAATAATAATATTAAGTTCATTTTGAAAATCGTTAATCTTCGTCGTCTGACGGTTATCGTGAGATTTGAATGTAGAATGTCAATGTTTACGAATTACGGATTATCTACGCAGAACAACAAAATCCAATATTGCCAACGAGTGTACATTTTAATTAATAACTTCCTCCGAAATCCCGCAATTTTTCTATTGTACTTTGTTCCGTATTTTTATGTGTTACTAACAACTACTGCGGAGAAAAATA